CCCACCCAAAGTTTCAGTGACATATTCATATTTTGGATCACGTTTTTTTCGGGATCCACTCGTCGCCTCGCCGCGCTTTGTTTTAGAAAACGATGTCGCTTGGCCCTGCCCTTCACGTCGCCTACTGCCAGCTCAACAGTTTGGAGCAAAACTTTGTCAGTCGGTTTTGGTATCTTGACTCTTGACCTACTATTTTGCCTGTTATGTTTCCTCCTCTTGTTTTTTCAAATTGTGTGCTTTGTCGGTAGACATTTTTGTTACACTTGCATGCGCGTCAATCGGCACAAATCTATCCCACAGCGACCAGCACAAAACCACACCTTCGCCGGTTTTTGGAGGCAGCGCCCCAGCGGATGACGGAGCAGGCGAAGCCTCGTACTCCGGAAAGCTGGTGCGCACCCGTCCCATTAGACCTGCCCTCAAATGGACAGAAACCTTTTGGAGCACGGACGTCCAGCTCCTCTCTGTAGAGTTCTAGCAACCAAACACCGGACCTGTTGTTTGAAGGCGGCTTGGGAGTCCTATCCACATTGGCCAAGGGAAACGGACAATCCTTCAGCATCCTTCAGCTGAACATGTCGGCCTGCGATCTTGCGATAGGCCAGGCGTTACGTTCGTACAGGCTGCGTTGGTTGATGCACATACCGGGCCGCGCCCTGACCAGAGCATTTGACCCCTGTCGCGGTCAGCGGTCCACGTTGGGCCCGCATTTTTGAAGGTAGCGTGTGAGACACCGACCATAGTCGCAAATGGCCGAAGGCAAAGGTGCGAACTAGAGGAGCGACAGTTCAAGATGCGATCTGGCGGGGCCTCCTTCTCCGCCTTCTCCGCCTTCCGGGCACGGATGGCCGTGATGCAAAAAACCAGGCGCCAGCTACGACTCGAGGCATGGAGTTCGTCTCCGTCAATGCCCCCATGCCTACTGAGGGCGACACCGAGGTGGAACCAGTTCCCATCACGGAAGAGGACGAACTTGTCGTCCCCAACAGCCCTATTGATGATGAAGGGTACATGAACGATCTCATAAAAAAAGAACCATATCGAATCAGCTGTCAAGCAAGGATTCGAGAACGTGGACCAGCTTGATGATGATCCAGATGAAGAATTCCTATTTAAGGAACCCATTCTCACGGCCATTCCGATGGAACTGCGACAAGAATCTTGTCAAGTCACAGGAGTGACGTATCAGCTGAGGAAAAATGCCGACCAGAGCGATATCATCCGGATCTTCATGGACGAAGAAGACATCCTGAGCTCACCGGCGAAGCCCTCAGACGATTTCAAGAGGTCACTCGATTCAAGAATGACACGGACTTGGGCAACAAGATTGTGGTGGAGAAGAAGCCAAAGGCAAAGGCACAGCCAAAGTCGCCAGCGCCGAAATTGCCTGATGAGCAGCCTGAACCGGCAAAAGCACGCCCGGCGGGAGCTGAGGCCGATGTGGAAATGAAGACAACAGACGCTACGCAGCCCAAAGTAGCAAAACGCCCGGCGGGAACTGTGGCCTCGGAGACAGCTGCTGCGGCAAAGCCTGGTGTCAAGGCTAAGGCAATGCCGCGGGCCCCTCCGATGCCAGTTGTGTTTTTTCCGCTCAGCTCCCAGCATTGACGGATTACACTATAAGGTGTACAGTTTCATCAAGCGCAAGTATGCTGTCAACTTGACGAACGATGAATTCCCATCGTGTCACCACATCAAACCACAGATCTATGCTGGAGACGACAATTGCGCCAAGGGGGCTTTGTTCGGTGGAAAGTACCAATATACACCGCTGAGGATCAAGGCGGTCCAGAACCACAATGAGTGGTCGTATAGCACCGTGCAGGATGCGCTTCCGGAGCACGAATGCTTTATCTTCCTTGACGAGGAGTATGACACTGAAGGGTACAAAGAGGGCCGATTTCCCCGAGTTCCTCGAGGTGCGCTTGGAAAGCTTGGTAGCGTCGCTCCAACGATTGTCTACCATTACACGCACCAATCCGCCTTCCGCGACATCATCAACGTGGGATTGGCCCCAGGCGGCAACAGGACTGGTGCATCCCCGTTTTTCCTTTACAAAATCAACCTACCTGGGTAACAAAAAGAGCTTCGATATTGCAAGAAACAATTGTTTCCAGGTACCCGTTTTTGCGGGGGTAAGGAGGTTGATTTTGTAAGGGCAGCATTCTTTCTTGGGTCTGTTGATTTTGTAAGGAATCGATATGTTGGTATGGATGTCAAAAGTGCCGCACTGGTGACGGTGGGGTCCTTGATCCTATACAAGTTTGAGGGTGGGGCGGTTGTCATGGACAGTCGATCCTGTAATCGATTGACCTGCTGTAAAGCATGAACCCTTGATTTTGTAGTGGGTTGAGCTGCCGTAGAACATGGTCTCATAAATTCTCAATAATTCGCATGATCGTTCATATGTGTTCACGGGCTTTGAGGTTCAACTAATTTGTTTACAAAATCAGAGGCACCAAAAGAACACCCAAGGGCACTTATACAAAATCATGCTTCCCAGCCTCAGTGTCCTCGTGGGAATAAAGCAAAATATAGCTAGGCTGTGTGGTACGAACTATGATATGTACAAACTTGTAAAGAAAGGCCTGCCATTTGAAGAGTTGGTGGTGACTTGCATTTGCATTTCTTTGTTTGTTTTTCTTTTGATGGCAGGTGCGGGAACCCCAACATCCATGATCAAGGTTTGTTCCCAGATGTTCCAAGCATTGTTCAATCATGTTCAATCTATCTGTTGATCTCTTGCAGTTGCTCGCATGCCAGAAGTGATCTGCGGGACATTGCGATAACATTAAAAATGAAAGATAAGAAAGGAAACGTGATGACGAAGAGTGAGAGCTGTGAGACGAATCGTATCGCATCGTATCGTATCGATGAGGTCGCGCCAAATCTTGTCCAATCCAGGTTTAATGATTGAGATTTTGTATCTAGTTTGAGGCCTCGGGGTGGTTGATTTTGTAATTGTACTGAGCCATGTCGACAGAGTGCCTATGATTTTGAAAAGACTGTATCTTGAGACTGGGACAATTGATTTTGTAATATCGGCTGGAGAGTTGTCCCTTGCCTGCGTCCTGGGGGGTTTGATTTTGTAAACCTTTTCAGGTTGGCGAGCCTGGGGTGGTTGATTCTGTAGCACATTTCCCTTACAAAATCAACCACCCCTACATACTCCAGAAATTCGATGGAGGATACTGGTGCCAAGTACACCTTCCTGACGAAAGAGGATCCATGGACCATTTCCGGAACAGACTATGCTGCCATGGCCGCTACCCGTCCAGTTTGCGTAGCTTTGGGCATGCAGCATCTCCTCAATGGCCATCGCCTCATCGAGACAACCGCTGATTGGGTCCCCAACCGCTTCGTCGTCTACGTCTACGACATGCAGGCGCGCAGCTACTCCTTTGCGAACCATGTCTACGCACACCTTCATGGTGAGCGCAGCGGTAAGTCAAAGGCCTTTTATGCTGCACGCACCGGGGGGCCGGATGCCGATGATGAAGTGACAGTAATGAGCCCATTTGAGAAGTACACAACTCGTGTTCTCGATGATTATGAGAAGTGGTGTGGCAAAGTGGGTGCCTTTTCACCCTCTGTCTATGGCGAGGTCAACCGGTTACATGAGGTCAAAGATCAGATGATCAGTGGGAGAAACAACCCCGACCTCGAAGTGTACGAGGTCACCTATCAGGTCCGCAAACCAGATTTTCATGCCTATCGCAACAAGGTGTCGCCCGAGACCATGTTGCCCAACTACAATCGACCTCGCTTCGATTGGCGTGAGGCACATCCTGAAAAGGAAGGATGTGGCAAGACCAGGTGGCTCGTGGTTGAGGGGATCCAGATGCATGAAGAGAAGTGCCCAGTCTGTACTCAGATGTGCGCCCACGGGATGATGGCCTGTCTGAACTGCGGGATTTTCCTCCATGGTTGTTGCCATGACCGTGAACCTTTCATCCAAGGACCTCACCAAAAACAGCTTCGCGTGACCAATGTTGGAAACACACTGCTCCGATCAAAGCCTGCAAAGATGCCTTTTCTCACCTTAAGAAACTCTTGTGGTTCTTGTGCCTCCATGGGCCACGAAATGTAAAAAACCAATGTGATCGAGGCAGACATGCGAAAATGAAACTGTGCATTCACAGGAGGGAACTGCGAGAACGCCAAATTTACTGGGCGCCTTCCTGCCACCAGGGCAGGCAGCAATGGCGACCCGAGTCCACTTCCAGTCCTGTACACCTGCTGCCTTGCCCACCCCGCCCACCACCACAAAACACGGGGCGGAACACACGCAAGGGGGCTAGCAGCACATGGAAGACAAAAACCTTTGATTTGATTATATATTCCAATGGACGTGGTTTCGGCCACAAAGGTGGTGAACTTGGTAGCGCAGCTTGCTGACGAGTGGACCTTGGAATGATGCCTGCCAGGTTTAGCCGAGGGGGGCCGTGTGTGGACGACAATATACATATTTCCTGAGTGTTGTAAGCTCATGTAGAGCGCCTCTGTTGTTCTAACTGCACTTCAAGACATGCAACTATGACTATAACGCACGTCTTTTTGGTTTTTGTGTAGTCAATGACATGTGATGTTTTCGAGTTTATGTTTTGAAATTTTACCTGAGACGCTTGATCGGTGATTCGTTTAGACTGGTGCGTGTGCACTGCAACCTTTCAGTTTGAGATACGTGATGCAAACGTGACGCGCAAAACGAAGTGGGTGCAGAGATTGAACTGTAGGACGGACACGAAGTAAATAACAACTTTGCAGTCACTGCTGTGCGTTGACGGGGCAGTTCACTGGTCCAGATCTGCGTTGGCTAATGTTGATATCGCCTCATTTTGGCTAGCCAATGCTTAGGTCCATACGACCCGAAACCAGCTGGAAAACCACAAGCCGTGAATAAAATGAAGTGTTCAACCACTGATGTTTCTTCAACCGTTTCCAGCCTGCACAATCCAAAGTGGGAACCGAATCAGGTGGACATCCCTGTTGGTAGGCATATCAGATTTCTACTTGTGCTTTTCGCTAAGAGAGCGCCATGCCGCTGGATTTGTGCAAAACCCCGTGGAATGCGCAGAAAATCTGCGAGGAGGTCCGAATGCAGAAACTGAAGCAAACATTGAAAGGGACAACCAGTTCAAATATGGTTTCTGACCGCATAAAGGCTTAACTTTATGGCTGTGCCGAACAAAAATCTTCACGATTCGATGTGAATATTCAGGGTTTGGAATCAATTTGACCCGGCAACCGGCACAAGGCCACGATGAAGGAGATCAATGCAGAGTTGCGGAGGGCTATAAATCGAGGAGGGTTGCGTGCTGTCTTGGAGAAAGGGCACGAGTCACAAAGGGCTAGCTTCATGATAAGTGATAACGATTAACGATCAAAAACCTTTGAGATCCGACACGCGGCGTTCCACAGGAGATCCTGTGCCACGGGAGTGCAAACTGCAAACACCGGGAGAACAGGTGGAACTCATGGGGATGCGAAACCACGAGTGTTTGCAGCGTAGCAAAATTGAGCCAGCTGACTTGGTTCAAATGGACTCAGTCCTTTTTTTAAAGGTGTGATTCTGGCAAGTTTCTGGCAAACACTCCAGAAGTGTTTGTTTGACACATTGAGGCCACAAGCGCGAAACATGAATTTTGCACTTTTGTTTGTTGTGTTTTTATCCTTTTTGTTTGGCACGCTTTATGTCCCTGACATTGAATGCACGACGAGGGCGTTTGCAAACCTTTAGGATCTTTAGGTCTACCTAAACCAAGAACGTAGGCGAACATTTGTGCAGTGTTGCCGATTGTTTCACTTAGGAATGGTCGACCCGGTGAAGTGTTGAGCCGTGTTGCAGATGAGCACGGTTTCCTCATGGTGCCTCGTTGAATGCAAAGAATCACCAGCAAATTCATGAAATTTGTGCACAAACTGGGATTCCAAAGAATATCTGTTTCTTGAATTTGCGAATGTGTTTTGTTGCGATGTTTGAGACATAGTTTTTTTTCTGCGACGTTTATTCCTGAGGTTCGGGTTCAGATGCCAGAGGGCCCCAAGAACATGCAACTCGCAAAGAGAACATGCAAATTGATAATCATGTTCATTTTTTTTCAAATCGCCTCTGGAACAAGTGACTGCGTTAAGCAACAGCATGCTGTATTTACAAATGTGTTTTTCAGTGCAGCCTGGTAACATTCGCAGCTGTTGTGCATGAACTATAGGAAAGTTCAGCCAAGATGCTTGAAACCTATCAGGCTTGGGCAATCAAATTGAAGAACCACTTGAACAGATGACATGCAATTTTTTTTTTTGCTACGAGGGTCGAACACGGTTTAATGGAGTCAAGAACTCCAGGCACCCAAAGGATGGAAGGACACGAGGTGCTCGACTCACAGGCCGAGAGAGGATGAGTGATGAGTGTGCAAAGCTTCTTGAAACAGAATTTTCGGTGAACAGGAGAATGAACAGATCAAATCTTCAGATACACCCAACAGTGTAAAGTAATCATTCAAAAAGATCTCATTTGTGCAGGCTTCATTGTGGATCCGGAAGTGCAGTCTGCACATTGTCGGCATTGAATCTTTTCGGACAAATGTGCGCAGAGTGAGGGCCCACTTTCAGATGAACCAGGTCCCATTCAAGGCTGCTTTTAGGGTTTGGGTCCAATTGAGCTGGTCGGTGCTTTGAGGAGCTTTGTTGTTTTGAGATCCTGTTTGAACACACGGAAAAGAAGACATCAAACGCGACCCTTTACGCCGTTTACGCCAAGCGACCGGCGTGACACCAGGTTCTTTCTTCAAGGCCTGCAACGGCGAGTGCGGTGCAAAGCGTTCTGCGCAGCTGGACTGTGAATGTAGATCTTTCCGATTTGGGAAAGGGAGCATTCGGGCGACAGGAATAAGGACATGAAGTGTGGGGGGGCTAATTGAAGGCACCGGCAGGCAATGCACTGCCAGCATTGTTTGCGGTGATGCGTGCAGTGGCTGCATCAGGAGGAGGAGGAGGTGGAGGAGGAGGAGGAGGAGGTTTGAAGGTGCTAGCAACTAGATGGTCACGACGCCCCGAGGTGCCTGGCATTCTTTTGCATTGTGTAAAATTGATTCTTAACATTCCGCACATCAGCGTGTCAAAAATGCAAATCAGCGTGTCAAAACTATTCCTTTTCACCGCTCAGGTGCGAGCTTTCCAAGTGCACTAACAAACTACGCTGTCGGCATTCTTTCCTGTGAGAGTCCTTCTATAAGGTACACCCTTAATTGCAATACTGGATAGCATGCTAAGGGGGAAGATCGTCCCCCTGACCAAACGGACGAAGACACAGGATTCTCTTCTCTTCTCTTCTCTTCTCTTTGCAGGTTCAGCCGCATGTTCAGTGACAACTAGCGAGTCATATCTTTTGTGACACTTGCGAGCCTGACGCGTGTGATTTTTCGGCATGCTCTATGATCTCTATGTCTTGATGCTGCCAAGGTACTCAAACCCCATTGGTTGCAGACTCGGTTTTGTCAAAGGCTTCGCCCTTGGCGCCCCTCAGCTACTTGGACATTAAGCATTGGTTCAATCCAACTTGTTTCATGAAAGCTTATTGGAGGAGTTGCCGCTCTAGTGCTGCTCCGGCGAGTGTTGTCACGTCAAGCCAGAAGCCAGTCCACAAAGCGCACGTTCAAGGTGAAACGAATGCAGAATGAGGAGCTCTGAGGCACTTGGCCTTAGGTCTTTGCATCAATGTTGTCTGATTTTTTTTTGGGCGTGTTGTATGTGAATAATATATATATATATATATGTTTTTCCGCCAAACAGTGTGGGCACACTGAGGGTTTTTACGGTAGTAAAGCAGCTGGTTTCTTAGATCGCTGAAGCGCCGGCGTGAACGGCTAATTCATTGCTATTTACAGTGCATTCATGCCTCTCGAAAGCCTCGAAGTGCATTTCGACTGCGCAGGCTCGCAGAATCTGGGAGGCCCGCGGCGGGTGCTTCTGGCGACTGCGCTCTCGTTGTGGTGCCGTGCGCATTTTCGCACATGGGGTCACTTTTCGTGGCAGGCGCAAGGGAAACCTCGTGTTTTGGTGCTCCAAAGTCGACTTCTCGTGACAGGTGCAAGGGATCGGAGGTGTTTTACTTCGAAATGCAGTTTTCGTGGCAGGTGCAGCACTTTGGACATGGCGGTGATCGTCGAGGAGTTCAGATTTCGTGACAGGTGCAGTAAATGGTGACTTTTAGACACGTTTGCAGATTTCGTGGCAGGTGCAGCACGTTCGACGCGCAGATTTCGTGGCAGGCGCAGCACTTTGTGAACCTCGAAGAGCAGATTTCGTGGCAGGTGCAGCGTTTGGTGATCCTCGATGTGCAGATTCGTGGCAGGTGCAGCGCTTGGTGAACCTCGAAGTGCAGATTTCGTGACAGGTACAGCACTTTGTGACCTCGAAGTGCAGATTTCGTGGCAGGTGCAGCACTTGGTGAACCTCGACGCGCAGAGTTCGTGACAGGCACAGCACTTTGTGAACCTGGATGCGCAGAGTTCGTGGCAGGTACAGCGCTTTGTGAACCTCGACATGTAGAGTTCGCCACCCAGGTGCGCTCTGGTCACTGTGGGCAACTCACTCACTCACTCACTCACTCACTCATTCATTCATTCGTTCGTTCGTTCGTTCGTTCGTTCATTCACTACCTGACTGTGTTCTCAGATGTGTGCTCTCCTTGGTCTTCTGCTTTTTCATTCGCACTCTCATTCACAAGCATTCTTCCTTTGACTCAAGCTTGCATTCATTGTCACACTCTCACTCATCCACACTCGCTCACTGATTCGCTCACGTCCTGCGTGTTCCGGTGTTTGTATTCTCAGATGTGTGATCGTCTCGCTTGCAGATCTGCCCTCTGTCTCTTCTTACGCTGACTACATCCACTCTCACTCGGACTCTCTCGCTCTCACTCGCACTCACAACGCCCACGCTCATTCTCACTCAGGCTCATATTCACTCGCTCACTCCCTCACGTGCTGCGTGGTTTGGTGACTGTGCTCTCAGACGTGTGATTTTTTACACTTCTGTAGACCTCTGAAACTCTATCTTGTTCTCACGTGTGTGCTTCTAGAGCGATCTGGCGCGGTTACACCCAGCTATTCTTCTATCCGACGCACCTGGCGTGGTTCCACCCAGGTACTTTTGGCATAGCTTGGTTTCTTGGCAAAGAAAACGCGCACTTACACTTATTCACTCTCCACTCCTCACACACTCCCTCTCACTCTCACCCTCACATTCATTTGATTGCAATACAGCTGGATAGCGGTGACAAAAGTGTCTCTCATATACACTCCACACTGTTTGGGGTCTTTTGCCGGGATAATTAACTTAAGGGGGTAGGCCGTAGAGGTAATAGCTAGGTAGCTAGTAGGGAGAGGTAGCTAGTATGCAGCTACTTAGGACAGGATAGCTCACGCTTCTTCAAGGAAGCGCTCGCACTAATGATTAGTAAAGGTTTCTATACTTTGAGTCAAACTTAACATTAGAGGTCTTGCACCAATGTTGTTTGAAAGGAGTCTTCCCCCCCGCTCTTAAAGTCTTATTTGCAGCAGCAGGTATTGAATGGTGGTTTAGCCCGAGGCTTGTCGGATGTCTGATTCACAAGCATTTTCCTGGAAATCCCAGACCTGATGCTTCACAAGGATTCTAACACACAAGGCAACCTTTTTCCAAATAGCAACGGGGAATACAGTCTACGCGGGGAATAGCCCAGCACTCACACACGCACACACTTAGGATAGGGTGTACTGAACTGAAAGCGGTGCCACACGCCGGCCTAGGGTTCCAATTCCTAAGGGAACAAGTACGAACCACGGGAACCTGGAGGACTTTAAGAGGAAAGAAGGCCCAAAGCGGAAGAAACCCATCGACGATCGCGGATCGAGCAGGCTGACGACGTTCGTTCATGTCTGCCGAGTGCATTAGCCCTTTACCAAAGGTTTAAAAATTGTGCAGGTACAAGTGGTTGATCAGACCACTCATCCGCCGAAATGCCATAGCTTCGTTGGACTTTCTCGTCTCTCCCTACCCCTCCCTCTTGTCGGCACCTTAGCTTGGGATGCTACTAGGGGCTCCTGGCCTTCCTATTAGGTGTTAGGTGTTTCTTTGACGCTACTAGAGGCTCCTGGCCTTACCACTACTTGGGGACGAAGAGTCTCACACCACCTATGGCGCGGAGCTTAAAAATCTTGCCTCCCCTCGGGGAGGCGTGTGTGTGTAACCCTTGGAATCATAGGGATCCAGGAAGGTGTTCCCAGCTACGACGCAAGCGTCCAAGGACACACCAAAGGAAGAGAGGAGAAGGTTCCCAGCTATGACAAAAGCATCCAGGGACACCCAAGGAGGGAGGAAGGAGAGAGAGAAGGAAAGAAAGAAAGAGAGAGGGAGAGAAAGGGAGAGGAGAGAAAAAGAAAAAGGCAGGTGTTCCCAGCTACGAACAAGCGTCCAGGGACACACCAAAGAAAGAGAGGGGTGATCCTGAGTGTTGCATTCAGGAAAACTCCAGGAAGCAAAGAAAGAAAGGGGGAAGGGAAGGGGGAGAAGGGGGCTAAGGTCGCGACAGGTTCCAATGAACCTTGAACAAACTTCGGTCGCTGCGACCACGTACGGCTTGCCCAGGGGCTGCCATCTTTGACCGCTACGGTCACGTAAAGGCATGAGCCAGCTTAGAATTCCAAAGATGGGACAAAATCATCGTACGTACGGCCTAGGCCACCTACGCTCGCTGCGAGCTGCTCTGTATCCGGGCAGTGGATACGTTCGACGTACACCCGTTCGACGGGTCCACGGGAGGCACTCTGCGGGCTCATCCCGGGTTGGCACGAGGCCAAACACACTTAGGATAGGGTGTACTGAACTGAAAGCGGTGCCACACGCCGGCCTAGGGTTCCAATTCCTAAGGGAACAAGTACGAACCACGGGAACCTGGAGGACTTTAAGAGGAAAGAAGGCCCAAAGCGGAAGAAACCCATCGACGATCGCGGATCGAGCAGGCTGACGACGTTCGTTCATGTCTGCCGAGTGCATTAGCCCTTTACCAAAGGTTTAAAAATTGTGCAGGTACAAGTGGTTGATCAGACCACTCATCCGCCGAAATGCCATAGCTTCGTTGGACTGGATAGGCAAATCGGCTCCAGTCCCCCTGCTACACAAGGAAAACAACTGTGAAGCGAAAACAATCCGAAAGGATCCCTATGATTCCAAGGGTTACACACACACACACCCCAAGCAGACATCCAAGACTAGACCACAGTAGGGGAGAAAGGAAAGCAGGGAGAAATATTCACACTTATATATATACTCGAAAAAACATTTTTGCAAGTTACTTTGAGATCTTTGAGAGGCCACGGGGCTGCCGCATTTTAACATGATGTTGACGCGCTTTGGTATTTGCTAGTTTCACAGCATGCGCAGACTTGGCCAAGTGACTAAGTGGTTTGCGTTTGTGCTGTCTCACTCATAAAATCTATCTTGCCCTGGCCTGCATGCTGCAATGCAAGGAGCAAACAGTATGTTGGCAGAAAGATTGTTTCAATCTCCCTGACCCTGGCTGTCGAATTGCGCAGTTTTGCAGCACAGCCAGACCCAAGAGCACACCGCTGCTCGCAACAACATCTCCCAAACAAGTTTGCGTGTGATTTGGCATGTCCGGGCCAAAGGATCTTGTGCTCATCCCGCCTGCTAGCTGCTAGATGTTCAGCCATTGCACACGCAGAAGCCCCATCGCAGGTGCGCGTCGAAGCTGTTCAATGGAACGCGTCCTCGCCAAAGGTGAGGTGACGTGCACTCTTGAAGTCCCAACTGAAAACTGATCATGTGCGCTGGAGAGGGCTGCTTGTGTCATGTGCTTGTGACGTTTTTTCTCCCGATGCCACTCTTAAAGCTCGCTGCCCGCAGGTCTTGACCCGAAAGCCGAAAACATTCTGAACAGGTGATAGAAACTGAACAAACTTTGCAGCCAGTATTTCGTAGTGTGCTAGGCTTGCATATGGTCCATTGGGTCTTTAGCTATATAAAGTGCGCCACAGTCCCCAGTCAAATCGGTCAGTGCGTCTTGCCAAGTTGCATTGGCTGCAGTGGCATGTTCGCCATACAAGAGCTAATTTGGAGCCGTGTTAGCGCGTTGACGCTAGAGCTTCGCTAGAGAGATCAGGAATCTCCAACGCCAGGGAGTTGTATGTAGATGAGCTGATCAAGAGCTGCTGGATTTGAAGCCGAAGCATCTCAACGGATTGATCACTCATGCAAGTAGGCAAGGATCCGGCTGCCCGAGGTGCCGCTGGCACGGACGAGTGGCCCACAGGCAAGGAGAGGAGCCAAAACGGAAGGCCAGAAAGACAGTGAAGCAAGCCCCCAGGGACAAACCAAGGCCAAGACCAGGAAGGTGAGGGCGGTGGCAAGAATGGAGCGGACCTCAGTACGTTGATGAGGGACAAAGGCAGTGGGCATAGATTCTTGAGCCCAGAAAAAACCGGTCAGTCTCACTTCTACGAGTTCATGGCAATCTCAAGGGCGGCAGGCTCTCTTTCAAGCAGAGGGCAGAGCGTGCGGGGTTGGAGGCCATTGGGCGCACGGTTCACTCTGGAGGGACAAACCCCGACCTTCATCACCGTGCGATCTTGCCAACACCACCTACGTGGTTGCCAGAGCAGAAGGCATCAGTGAGCCGGTCAGGGTGGAGAAGGCATCCGACTACACAGGGCATTGTTGGCTGACTTCACCGGATCTTCCAGCATCTCCCACGGATTTGCTTCCAAGGGAGATACTGCTTGGCCCTCAACATCCCTTACCCTAAGAATGAGAAGGTGTTCCAATGGAACTAGACGGCGTTGTCCCTCTATGGTTCACAAAATGTGGAGCTCTTCCGGAGCTTCTGGCCTCCAGGCCCGCTCCTAGTGCAGGCGCGGCCTGGACTCTGTTTGATCATCACGCTGCGAGAAGGCATTGAGTTGCCTGATGGCAGCAGAGTGACAGAGCTGACCACGTCTGTTCGTAGCCAGCTTGCAGCAAATGGATGGCTGAGAAACCAGGGCGTGTCCTTCGATGAGGTCTTCCTTGCTAGCCCTCCAGATCTGGACAGGACCAATCAGATCCTTGCTCAGTATAGAAGGCACCCTTTTGCAATACCGCCTCTCAGAAACCATCAACATGGTCAGCTCGAGGCTCAGCAGGTCACTTCAGCCAGCTTCTATGAGCCGGTCGAGCACCACAGGGCCATGCCAGCCCAGCTGATGTTGGCAGTCCTAGCGACATGCCTGGTATGGGGCTGGACTGGCGAAGCCGCGATTTTCGCGATGTGCTGGGGGATGCTCCTCCGAGCTGGGGAGCTGATGAGCGCCAAGAGGCGAGACATCATCTTTCCTCAAGATGTCCGCTTCTCTATCGAACATGTCTCGATTCGCATCATGGAGCCCAAGACGAGGTTCAGGGCTGCTCGTCACCAATGGAGCAAACTAGAGCCTCCGGACCTCATACAAGTTGCACGGTTGGGAATTGGCAAACTGATGCCATAGGAACCAGTTTGACCAAGTTCACCATCGACTCTGAGGCACAGGCTGCTTACCAGACGCAGGTGGAGGTGGGTCTCCTTGAAGGTACGCATGACAGATATCTCGAAAGAAGGTCGAGAGACGATCCTGACAGCCAGAAGCTTTCCCGCAAGTTCTGCAGGTGAGCCAGGGCTTCTACGAGATGCTTCCCGGAAAAGGCATGGCATACCCTGTTGAGGCAGCGTGCGCAAGGAGTCGATCCGACAGCATCAAAGGGGCGGACGGGATACAGCGCAGCCAAAATGGCTAGCCGCTAGCCCACCTTCACACAGCAGGAGACACCACGCTGGCTGAAAACAAGGGGCCCGAGCACTTCTGAACTTGTAGAAGTGAGACCGACCGGTTTTCTGGGCTGAACCCACCACCACCCCTGGTCACCGCAGCGCAGCTGCTTGACCGAGCATGTTTTTTTCAGGCGGGGTTCAGTGCAACCAACATTGCTAGCCCACATTCACACAGCAGCAGACATGTATACACACACACACACACGCATATATATATATATATATATTACATCTGCACACACACACACACTATATATATATATACATATATGCGCCGCCCCTCCCACAAGAGGCAGTAGTTGAACAGGACAATGAGGTTTGTGGTTCACCTTGCTGGCATGTTTGGCTCCTGGCCATGCACGCAGGTGAAGCTTTTGTGAAGACATCGTTGAATCTGGCTTGTCAAGCGCAGGCTTGGCTCAAGTGCTTAGATTGAGGGTGGGAGGGCCGTGTTCGGCCAAAACATGGCCGTGTAATGCGTAGAATGTGCTTTGGTCTAGATTTGGTTCGCAAAGCATGTTTGAGCAGTGCGTTACCAGAGAAAACATATACACACATATACTGCATAACACTGACTGACTCCACTCAACCGTCACTAGCTCCATGTTTTTGCGTGGTTCTTTTGTCCTGGGTCCCAGCCCCTTGGCTGGAAGCCCACTCATGTAGTTGGGGTGACCGCATGGTGTGGCTTCCATGCTGGAACCGAGTGCAATCCACAGCTATGAGCCGCCTGCTTATCGGAACAACCCGCCCTCACCGTCGGAGGGGTTGCCACCCAGTTTGCCCTTCCACTGTGCAGTGCTGGAGTCGGCGGATTCCTCGGGTGGCCCTTCGCCCGCCTTGTTGCACAGCTTGCGAGAAAAGGGCTGCAAGCTCATCCTGGCGCAGGTGGAAGATTTGGAGGACTTAGAGGAGGGTGGCACCGCGCGGGAGACGGAGGAACATACCGATTCCAGTCCCTTGAGACGACACTCCCCTGCGCCGCGAGCCTATCGGCCAACCTCTCTAAATCGAGAGTGGTATGATGCGGTTTTTGACAAAGTGTTGTCGATCACGGGAGAGGAGGGCAGGGGCAATAGCCCCCTGGAACGCTTTTTTGCTGATGAGGGCCTCCCTGCATCGCAAGCCGTTTGCTTTGCCTGTACGGATGCGGGATCGAAGGCGCCGATTTTTTCCATTGAATTTTTTTGGGGTTTCCATTCAGTCTGATTCAGTATGTAGTATGCTAGCATGGTGGGAAGGTATCAGAAGTGCTTAGATCGGTAAGTTTGCAGGCTTCGGCGCCACAGTGCTGATGTGTCGGTGCTGATCAGGCCTTCGGTGCTGTGGACGCTGGCCTGGTGCTGGCACCATCCCACAACAAAGTCTGGCGCCGGGAGGAGGAGGAGAGGACTTTCAGGGGACCTTTAGTGCCGGGCATGCTGAGGTAAGAGGAATCTTCAATGCTGTAGGGGCCATCCAGTGCCCATCCTCTTTGAGAAGCAGTGCCAAACTGGGATCACCCATTGCTAATACTATTTAATACTTGTTCGTCCCTCTGTGACGTAAAAGGCTCAGCATGACTCAGTGATTGGTCGTATACTTTCGTTTCCAAAACTCCTCAGGCGGTGCACTTGCCGGGCGCGGACTGCGCCTTGTCACAGAGCCCGACGGCCCGTCACCTTGCGTGGCTGCACGAAGTCTTCACGCAGAAGCTTTGGTGTTGTTGCATGCGCCATGGCTGAATCGTCGATGCACCGACATGCATGCTGCATTACATACCTGATTATACAAGTGATTCAGCCTTGTTGTGATATTCCCAATGTGCATGGGACTCCACTTAAAAAAACCCACTACCAAGTGCAGTTAAGCCTACATTGAGGGTATTTTTGATCAATCTCCATGCAAAGTCAGGTGGCTAGCGCCCGCTCCAGAGGAGCTGCGCCACCATGCTGGCTTGCCCAGTGATGGTCCATCTGCCTATGTGCCTCGACCAGCCATTAGGTGCCATTCTTCACCTTAACTCCTAGAAATGCACATTTCTTTTTCATTTGGTGATGGCAACTGAGGGGCCTTTGGACCTTGTGTTTTCATGCATCTTAGATCAGATGCTCACTGCTTCTCACTCAAAATTATAAGCAGCGTAAAGGTATGTTTGTAGGCATTATTCTTTGACCCAGATTCTTTGGTGGCACTTTAACCGCCTATTTCCGGACCCAGCCTGACTTGTTTGGCGTTGCTCCTGCACTTTGAGCGAACTTCCACCCCCAAGCCAAGTCAAAGTTCCCGGTACTTTGCAACTCTGAGTGCAAGTCTCTGGTCACTCCGTTCCTGGCATGAAAAAAGAATGTCTTGCCCACCATAGCCGCAAATAGGCCTGTGCCACTGAGGAACGTGCGACCATCACGAGTGTGGCCAGTGGCACCCTGCAGGCTTTGGGCCACCCACCATGGGCATCGGCATCTCGCTGGGAGCCTTGGAAGGAGAACGAGGACAGCCGAGAGCGGCGGACAGTGCCTGCTGAAGCTGTTTTTGCAGGTCCAATCTTGAGAAGCAAGAAAGTAAGGATCGAAATTCATTGTAAGCAACCCATCGTTTGTCAAGTGATCAATTCTGTTGCTAAGCCAGCCTTTTGGTCGGAATCGGTATCTTGGATTGTGACCAGGAGATCTACCCCTGCATGGCGCAGTTGGGAGACGAGCTTTGCGCTTGCCCTGACTGGACGCCACTGGAGCCAAGATTTCGGTCTAGAGGCTCCTTGCGTGAGCTGGTGGCGCTGCCCAAGGCACGAGCGGCGTTGGCACTGTTGAGGGTTTGCGTGGTGTTTCTAGGATTTCTGGGGCGAGCTCTGTTTTCCGGTGCTTGTGGGTGGCTTGGGTCAAGGTGGGTCACAAGTTGGCAGATTGTGAAACTACATAGGAACATCAAGAGAGTGAGAGAGAGAGTGTGTGTGAGCCTGGGGATGTTGGGCCGCCTGAATGAGGTGGTGCTCTATTGCCACTCCTTGGATGTGGGCCTTGCAAAGGTGCACCACCTGATGGAAGCTCAGGATATGAATAACTTGTCCGTGAGAGTGAGCAGTGCCTCGACTGAACTGGTTGGCTCCCATTCTGGCAGAAGGTCGATAAGGGCGGG